AAGGTAGCTCTGGGTCACTCACTCGGACACCTGTATAGCATCTTTGTCTGCGCGATGTCTCCTTTGCTAAGCCGTACTCTCTGACCGATCTCTGGCCGCACGTTAAGCGTCGGGTCGTGTTGTGGCAAAATTGTGTCCAAATAAGTGCTCTTCGAGAATGTATTCCTCGCGTAATGCATAATACTGTCGAAGTCGTAGTTCAGACCCAATGAGTTCACCTCTTCTTCAGTCAGTTTATTGAAGTTGTATTCTTGACCTGAAAAGTACGGACACAAGCATCGGGTTATCATCGGGTTATCGCCAATGGGAGTGGGAGTGTGTCTCTCGTACCAGACATGATATTTTTGGTGACGATCTGGACGTTGTCATCCCTGTCGGGTCGGGTGTGTTCGTGCCAGAAGCCCACCACATGTCCCAACTCGTGGACAACAATTCCGAATTTATCACAGTTTTTGCCGATCGATATGGCCTGAGGACCGTTACCGCGCTTTCCCACAAATGAACAGCACCTGGAAATCCATACAATTATTGTATACAAAAAAGTCTGGTTTTTTGGCTTGAGATCAATGCTCAATGAATTTCTATTTATATAACTGTATATCGGAGTCAAGTGTTAGGGCTATAGAGCGATACGGATGGGGAGGCAGANTGGAAATCCATACAATTATTGTATACAAAAAAGTCTGGTTTTTTGGCTTGAGATCAATGCTCAATGAATTTCTATTTATATAACTGTATATCGGAGTCAAGTGTTAGGGCTATAGAGCGATACGGATGGGGAGGCAGAGGGAGAGGACAGGGAGAGGGGAGAAAGAGAGAGAGAGAGAATATTGAGAAAGATGATACCCGCATGGTCGTTCGGTGAAAACGATATAGTTGGGATGATCTAGGCTCCTTTCGACAAACTTGACACACGTGTGGTTCTCCCAGTGGCGCATAGCCTGCTTGAAGAGCGCCCTGTGATCGCCTACTCGTCCACAACAAGCCGTCAAATTTCAAACACTCATAACATTGATTGGCCGAAGACTTACCGCTGAAGTTGGCCTCAATCTCGTAGGGAATGACCCCATAATCCCAGAGCCGTTCAGCCCTAGCAGTGGCTGCCCTTCGGATGCGATCGTTATGTGAATGCATTGCAAAGTATTGATTGAATGCAAAATTGTTGTTCAAAAGTACGAAAATAAGTATAAATAGGATCTCATAGTAGACTAAAGAAGAGGACATTATATATAACAACAAAAAAGCAAATCTAACGACAAAAACAAAACAAAAGACTCGGTTTTGATGGCAGAGGAAGAGAAGAAGAATAAAATTAAGGAATCGATTGTGAAAATGAAATATCAGTTTATTTTATGTTTCAAAACAATATCATTGAATACATGAGTGAAAAGTTTGTGAAGTGATTGAAGGCTTCAATACTACTGAAACATGACATGAGTTATGCATTCAATTGAACGCTTCGTTCACTTGATTTTCATCACAAAATCATAAACTCATTGATGAAGAAAACCGATTATCACGAGAGCAGCAAAACATCCGCTCATTTATGGCCAGAAAACCGAAAGCGAGAGAAGAAAAAAAACAACACAAAAATGAGACAAAAAAAATTAATAGTATTTTTACTATTAGTTATATCTATGGATAAGACAGTGACTGAAAAACCAAACACTGGGAGAGAGTGATAGGAAAGAGAAGAGAGGGAGAGATAGACGACCAAAAAGCTAAACATAAAACTCAAAACTCAATCAAAGACTGCAAATACGAGTGGAGAGGAAAAAACGCATGCGTTTTGTCTATGCATTCAAAAAGCATACAAACAATACATTAGACAGACATTGAGTGCCCGGAGTTTGCGCTTCGCTTCCGACTAAACATATGATCACTTCTTCTT